ACACACAACCCACAATTCCTCTATTCGCTCCGACGAAGGGCTAACGCTCGAAACGTCAGCTTTTGTAATCGTTAGGGTGGCCAATTTACCATTTCAACTTTGTTGATATATCCTAACATTCTGGGTCTTGCCTCCACCCTACACCTCTTCGCAAACTTCTTGCAATGAATTTTTTATTAAAAATCAAATCATACCAATAAGGAAAACAAAATATTTTTTTAAATAATTCGTGTACAGATTGTTTACTTTTTGAGAAGTTATCAAAAGAAATCAAGCAATTAATAAGTAGTTCTTAGAGGGCCAAACTACGCACACCTAACATCTGTCCAGAATGAAATGTATCAAAACGGATAGATTTTGCGCCCATGGGCAAGAAACCAATGCACTGCAGCTAAAACATTGCATTTCTACCACAACGTTGTACATACACGGACAACAAAACAAAAAATTTTGATTTCTAATCTGCAGAAAGTCTAGAACTGGTAGAGGTGGACGTAGCCTAGAGGTATGGGGGTAGTTTTCTCCGAAAATTTACCACATTTTTGCATGTTATACGAGGGGAGATTAAAGTCGGAGCCCCATCGCTTCGGCTCCGCTGTCCTTTATTTACCGTGAGTTATACACTTAACTTGTCATTCTCTTGTTCCGGTTTCTGCGTAAAGGTGGATAAAAAGTAAACTAAATGTGAAGAAAGACATTCTTCTCGATCTTCTAAATAACAATTTAAACAGATTCAATAAAATTAATATCAAATAAACATACTTCATATGTGTTCCACTTCCACAGTGACCAGTTGAAATCTAAAAACGTTACTATGGATCTACAGACTCGCTCAAATAAAGCTTCTCTTGATTATTATATCATAAGAATTCAACGAGAAATTGTCCGAAATCGTCAAAAAAGGGAATGAATAATACTCTATAAATAGCCAGAGCAACTTCGACATGTTACCCCACGTAACATAGGCGATTTGTAAAATCATTTAGCAGACAAATCCAGCAATTGGGAAAGAAGATATATACAAGGGCGAAAGTCTTCAGCATCCTGCGCATGAGAATGCGCAAGGCTAACGCCTCCGTAGTGGCGTTATCCAAAATCGCCTTTGTATCCTCTTCACACTATATTAACATCTAGTCGTAATTCTAGTAGTACTGTGACGCAAAAATTTAACTCGACTCTCTATTCAAGCTGTTCCTTCGCACGTATCACTTCAAACTGCAGTTTCTTCCCTGATGTCAATAGTTACTGGAACTTTTTACTCAAACGCTCTTCCATTGATTTGCTCTTAAATGAGCAAAAATGTATTTGGACTCACTATGCGTGAAGACGGTTTAATTTGGAGAGACCTGTAAGCGACGTTCTACGACAATGACCCAGACCTCCTCTTCTGAACAACAAGGCACCCTACCACTTGTACGTGTTCTCGACATTTCTTCTTCCTCACATTACAAGATATATGCGTTTCTGAATTGAAAGAATGATTCTGACAAAGTTCAACTTTCGCACGAAGGTCCCTTTTCAAATCTGTACTGTGCCATCTGACAAATTCCGTACAAATGAACAAACGCTGCGGCCAGGACAAGCAAATGGAAGATCTGGTGGCTCTGAAACTGAATATAAAGTAGAGGAATAAGTTTCTAAAGAAACTGTCGCGCTGCGTCGGTAGGAATTATTACAATATTTGATTTTACCAACTGAGTTTATTATGTGAATTGGCCATTGTTTTCAAAGCTTACGTTTCGAGCGTTAGTGAATAAAAATGAATTTAAAAAATTAATAGGTAGACTTAAAGCCGTAAGGGCAGGACTTCGGTGAACTATCTCAACTATCTACCTTAATGTTAGACATAATTCTGATACAGGTATGATTTCTCAAAACGGATCTTCAACAACCGAACTCCCAGTGCGCGGTTTGAGTTAAACCTGACGCAAGATAAAGAGCCCAAGAAATATTTAAAAAAACTGAAAATAGGACCCGCAAAGCTTGCTTACCCAGATGTCACACTTGCCGGGAAAAAATCTCTCAGGAATTCGAGCTGCATAGGTAACGGCACTTGCAGTGTAAAGTAGACACATCAGAGCGACCCAGCCGCCCGCAGCTTGCCGGTACGCCAAAGTTATTCCATACAAACATATGAGATGTATTACAGGAATAAATCCACAGTAGCCAAATGAAAGCATAATACCTGAAATTACGAAAATTTCATGTGAAATCAAATCATGTTTCCTTTGTACATACGTACTGCGTATGAATAGCGCACGCATCCAGCTTCACAAAATGACGGAATGTTCTTTCTGAGATGAGTTCGCCAGTGCTGCAAATTTTCATTTTAGTGCGGTAAAGAGGTATGGTTACAGAATAAGAATCGAGAATAAATCTTCGAAAACAGGAATTGAGTACTTCAGGTAGATATAAAATTATGGTTTTAATTGAAACTGAAGTGAGAATGAGTACGAAATAATGATATAAAAGAGCAAAAGGATACTTTTTCTTTCTAGTTCAAGTTTCCATGACATTGTATATCGAAGATTTTCAATGCAGGTTTCATTTCAGAGAAATATCAAGTCATACATGGAAGAGGCTCTATTCGCTCTTTTTCAGGCACTGTCTCTGTGCTTAATCATCGCGAGCCCCTCCTTAAATATTTTATGAATGTATTATCATTTGTGTTCTATAGTACCGTCGCTGTGACACTGTCTTTTCAAATAAATACAATAAGATTTGCCAAAGTGATTTTCTAAAAGAATTTCATTAGTTTATATGTTTTCCAAAAAAAAAGAAATAGCTAGTCGCAAAAGTGAAACATTGGGCACCGGTCGCATAGCCTGCCGGTCTATATTGATAATACCTGATAGCTTTATGACCTTGGCACTACAAAGAGTTTCGATTGAGTGTCGAAAGTAATCCAGGATTACATGGGTTCTAGTTAACTTCGCTCTGTGATTGGTCCAGAAAACTCGTACCATCGATATTTTTTCATCCAATCAGATGGAAAACTGGAACAGACGCATTTTCCGGCGCTTTAAGCAGTTTGCGGGTATTTACTCTGAACTCTCATTGGCTACTGATGATGTAAACCTTTGTTTTGATTGGTCACTGCGATTATTATTATTACCTTTTTTTTGGACACTTAATTGAAAAGTGCTCTGTTAACTGAACTGAGTTTTGAACGACAAATTTACCTGCCCTCAATAGTCGGTAATGGGGCGCGCTGAATTTTTCCCACAAGGAAACAATGATGCAGATGACACCAAGAGAACAGTTCATTGACATGTATACAATCTTCAAAACTCTTGAACAGTAGAATCCATAATATAACGGAGGTATAAATGATCCCATGATGAATATTGCTATCCCTGCGTAATCGAGCCTTGAAAACCAAATGGAACAAAGTATATTAGCATTTGATCAAACGAATTTCTTAAGTACATCATCTTACACTTTCTCGTAGAAACTAATGGATGAAATGGCGCACCAGCTGGACAGGGTAACCGACCAACACACTGACTGTTAGACCGGTTAAACAGCGGGTTGACTATGTAGCCTGTGAAATGATCAGCTGGCTGAAAAGCTGAGTAAATGATGATATAACTTGCTGACCGACCGACCGACCGACTGACTGAAAGACTGACTGATCGACTGACTGGCTGACTGACTCACCGACTGACTGACTGACCGACTGACTGACTGACTGAAAGACTGACTGATCGACTGACCGGCTGACTGAAAGTCTGACTGACTGATTGACCGACTGACTGACTGAGTGATTGACTGACTGACTGAAAGACTGACTGATTGACTGACTGGCTGACTGACTGACTGACCGACTGACTGACTGACTGACTGACTGACTGACTGACTGAAAGACTGACTGATTGACTGACTGACTGAAAGACTGACTGACTGACTGACTGACTGACTGAG